GTAACCCACTAACCTTATGTCATTTTGTTTTCCAGACGTCTTTGTTGGAAAAAGGAGAGAAAAAACCCAGCAGCCCTCTTATGGAAAACTACAAGTAAAGATCGCTTTGAAAAATGGGAGAAGGAATCCACCTACTGGCCAACAGGAGGAATCATCACTCTGATTAGAGCAGGCAGATTTATAATTGAGGAAGTTCTTCAAAGACAGGAGATGTTTAACATGACATTTTAATCTGTCTGCTGCCCTATTCAGTGAGACTCATTAATCGTGGTTCTGACCTAATTCGGGTTTGACCTTTATTTTAGCATCCAGCCGGCAGTTCATTAAATCAGCACGACTCAGACTGCATTTGATATGTTAATAACTTGCTTGTTTTTCATGTGTTCCTTCAGTAAACAAAATTGGGGTGTCTCGGGGGTAAAGCAGAATTATTTTTCCCAGCTGGTGTTTGTGGTTATTAGCTGACAGCAAACTAAAAGGCGAGACTCTTTTTGTTCTTAGATTCATGCTCCAGGACAGATCAATTCAAAGATGCGGCCAAAGCTGTGGGAGAGTCAAAGGACTCTTTCATCCCACTCCTGGACCCACTGATGTCTCTGCACCGTCATAGCCCGTCTGCCCCACATAGAGCTGACCCTCACATCGGTCAGCAGGATCAACAGAAAAAGAGAAAAAGAGCATCCACAGTAAATTTACCATAAAATCCACCACAGTATAATAAGGAAGGATAAAAACAGATAAACAAGGGCAACCTCCCGAGACTGATTAACTTTGTACTGACTGCTCTGAAGTCTTCTGAAATAAATGTAGTAAAACTGCTAATATTTGGGTCACCAAAACTGAAGCGGATGCTTAAAATTGTCAGTTGACTCTAGTGTTCATGGTTTGCTGCTAAGTCAGATCCAGGACCAACGCTCTTAACCGAAAACAGAAGTGACTAAAATACACTTGAATTCTGGTTAAAATGACGCAAATGAGGGTGAGTGCAAATGTTCTTCCTCAACTGTACTGAAACGGTATCATATTATCTCCGTCTGACCTTTTGACCTCCACTTTGATCTAAAATTCAATACTGCGATTAATATTCTCAGGACCCATCACAGTGCCATGTGTGAACACCATACCAGTGACTCCTGCTTGATCTCATCTGTCAGTCTGTCCATCACTGCTGCAGACAAGAAGTGTCTAAGAGCTGATCCCTGATGTAATCCCACCCCCACCTTGAACCCATCTGTCATTCTTAGCCACTGTCTCACTGTTGTCATCCATGCCCTGCACCTTGGATGGTCCTGCATGCTGTTTGACCACCCTGACTTCTTCATGCAGTACCACAGGTCCTTCCTTATCATATTTCTCCAGATCCACAAAACCACACAGCAGTTCCTTGTGACCTTCACTACACTCCTCCACCAACACTCTCAAAGCAAACATCACAGTTGCTGGACTACTGCAAACCCCTTTGCAACCCATTTCCACCACTTCTCCTTTTTCCATGCTGTGTTATGTGCTGTTTTTATAATGCCTATGCCCATAGTAGGGAGAAAACAGCAAATATCTTTTTCTAACTGAACTAATACTTCACCCTTTCTATATCAGAAGTTCAATTTTAGGATTGCAGTGTTTGCAAATCAGTGTTTTCATTTGTTATTAAATGTATTTTAGTTTTGACATAGCTCATTTTATTCTGCTTTTGGGATCCTGTTTAGGATTGTTTAGAGAGTTAAATATTTAAATATTTATTTGATCATTTATGTTCATCTGATGTGAACCCTGTTATAGAGATGGACTGGATTCTGGCTGTGTTGCTATGACGTAACCAAGGGGGAAAATATTCTTTCTGGGGAATTTCATAGTGGAAAAATGTGCACTTGTGGTGGATGTTGTTTGAAAAGTCAAGCATCCCGTGGAAACAGAGGTTGACATTTGCTTAGCAAACCACACAAGGTCCTCACTGAGTCTTTGCTGTCTTGTCTGCTCGTTCTCCCAAAGCCCAGTGCTAGAGTAAAACAGCGCTTTATTTCTTTAGTAGATTATATTGCATGTATTTAACAACATAAGATCCATGTAAGAAAAACCACAATGTTTGGTGTTTTGTTCTTTCTTCTTCTCTGAACCTTTTCCTAAGCATGTTAGTCTATCTTAAGCCCCGAGGGCAGGAAGAGATGCAAGAAAAGGTTTCAACAGAGCTGTGATGAAACATGGAGGAAGGAAGAAGAAAAGTGCTAGAAGCATTTCACCAACACTTTGTATGTATCTTATTTCAGTGTGTAAATACAGGATACGGGTGAAACGTCTTCTTACATTTGTGATAGAAACACATGATTCACAACCATATCACTGGTTCTGTTTTTTTTAAACCAATTTACCCTGAAATCCATTATCCACTATTCAGGACAGCACTTGGCTGTGTTTTAGAAATTTTAATTTACTCTCTACCAGACAACATGCCTATAGTTGCAGTGAAATGCAAAGATAATGCAACCTTGTGAAAACCTGACAGGACAAAGCAATCTGCTGAGTGACCACAGAGGCAACCCAGCAAACGTGGTTAAAACAGTGATGCTGTTTGTGAAACTATTCGTGGTATGATGGCTAAAACTGCTACACAGATGGAAAATGCTGACATTTCCACAAACAGTAGTAATCCACTCAGGCGGTCTCTAAAAGGGAGAGAAATATTTCTTAGCATCGCACTGAATTAAACAAATGTGTATCTGATTACTGAAAGGCTGAGAACCAACATCCACACACACACACACACACACACACATATATATATACATATATATTGCATTGGACTTTATTGGTGCCTGAGACCAATTGCAAGTAGTTGCTGCAATCAGTTGGTTGCCTACAGGTTGAGCATGCAACTCCCTCAACTTTTGTGCAACCATGTACAACTGCAACTGGGAGTGCACAGGTTGTCTGGTGTGAGACAACCTGTCTCCAAACAATTGTGGTCCAACTTCAACTGATATCAATCACCAAACGACCTGTCTTCCTCCTCTTACCCCACCGGTTGCAGCAATGGCCCCCCCCTCCCTGACCTTGGTTCTGCTGGAGGTTTCTTCCTGTTAAAAGGGAGTTTTTCCTTCCCACTGTTGCCAAAGAGCTTGCTCATAGGGCATCATATGATTGTTGAGATTCTCTCTGTTTTCTTGGTACTATTGTAGAATCTTTACCTTGCAATATAAAATGCCTTGAGGCAACTACTGTTGTGATTTAGCACTGTATAAATAAAATTAAATTGTATTGAAATTAATTACTGACTAACTTAGAAATGCAGACAGGTTGCCAAGATATTGCAGCAAATCTGAGTCAGTAAGCAAATGGTTAAAGGCTAATACATAGCACGCAACTTCTAGGTGGTAATAATGAAAATTTGTTGCTGACAAGCTCCGCCTTGTTGCATCAGTCTGTATTGTTGCACGTCTCTTTGCAGTAGGGACTCAGCATTAACTCGTTGCCAACTGTTTGCTGACCATTCCTATTAATTCATATGAATCATTCATATTAATTTTACAGTTAAATCGCCATGTTGTAGAGGAATTTCTGTATCAGATGTATGATGTTCTGGCTGGACTCTGAATGTAATGTGAATTTCACTTTACTATGGTGACATCTCCAAAGCTCCCAGGCAATACAAAAGTCAGCAAAAGCAAGCGTTCTTTTACTGTCACTGGTCATATAAGTGAATTTATAGTACACTGTGCACTATAGTACAGACTCGGCGAACCAAAAGGATAACTTGTTACCTTTCAAAAACCATCATTTAAAACAAATATATCCAAAAATGTGACATGATTAGATTTAAAGAAGTAATGTGACTACTTATTTTGGCTTCATTTGAAATGAAATGACTTACTGTGCTTTCGTCATACCTAATCACAGCTGAAATTGCCTGCTATGACTTGTTAATTTTGAGTTTTAGTCTTGTCCTTATTTGTGGATGCATAATAAACATATAGACTGATTTAAGCTAGTACACTTATGTGTATCAAAAAGATTGCTGTTTTGGAGGAAAGTGTAAATAAAGTATTAAACTTGCCTCCTGTCTCCTCTACAGTGAACGTTCTTTAACAGTACCCGTAATTGTATTTTCTTTTGTTGCACGAATCTCCTCGTGATCCAGCTGTCTGTTTATTCCCCCCTCTGTTTGCGTTTAGAGAAAGATCTACAGATTTAAAAGATGTCAGATGTCAGACGCTTCCTCGCCCTCGTACCTCTGAACTGGGCCAGTTCGTCTTAAAATACTGCGCTCCTCAGAGAAATGTGCCAGAACATTCAGCGTCTACGTAACACCTTGTTCCCTCCCTGCCTCCCCATATCACACTGTTATCTTCTTCTTTTTTTATTAAACATCTGATATGAGATGAGGATGAGGATGAAAAAAAATTATGTAAAGGTTCACACTTTTTAAAATAGCTTTCACCTGCTCTGATTTCTGTCTTACTGGGTTTGTCAGACTGGCTCACCACAGAGTTTTCTGAATATTTTATTCCATCTAAGTTAAAGCTCTAAATCAGATTTAAGCATTTAGGGGTTCTTTCTTCATATTACCAGATAACCCTGCCACTAATACCCTCTATTCCTCTGCTTACTTTCATCCTGTCATATTACTTTTTTATATCAGGTGTTTCGGGGTGACCAATAAGCGCCACCTTCCACTGACGTCATGACCAAGGCTGCTTCTAAGGTCATTTAATTTTATTTATGTAGACTTAATTTTAATATCACAACAGTTGAAATAAAATAAACATTAAGAAATCAACAAATAATACTTTTAGTGTATATGGTATTTATTTATATATTCTCTGTTAAAGTAGTCTTTAGCATTAGCATTGATTTGGTTATTCGTTCAAGAGCTAACGTTATTACGTTGCCTAGCAACCACTCTTTCGCTTTCTGCTGGCAAATACTGTATAACGTAAAATAAAAATTAAAAAAAAAACATTAAATCTTTCCACAGCGTCTAAAATGATAGTTTTTATTTAGCTTTTGTCAAAATATTGCTGTTGTTATTATTAGTATTTTATTAATATCCTAATATTAGTCACAGTGCGTCGTAATTACGTTACAGCGTCCCCCTCGTAGCCGTCCCGAGCCGCCATGGCCACTACGCACGCTTTCTGCGCACACGCCACCGTGCTGTCCTTTGTTCCTCATTCATAAAGCGGCTTCACGAGCACGGGGATGTGTCACCGTGAACCCCTCGCACGGAAAGGACCGCTGGCCCTTTAAGGGTTATGTAGCAGGGCTAGCTGATGTAGGACGAGCCGACCGTGCGTTTCTCTGCTCGAGCTCCCGCTGCCATCCTCGTCATGGCCTCCGTACACCCGCCACCGACACCACCACCGAGGATGAACCGACCAGCCATCGACCCTTCCCTTCCCGGAGCGGAGACGGACGTCAAGCCGAAGCAGAGGCACCGGTAGAGGCGAGCCGCGCCGGGGAGAGCCGCCTCACATCCAAATGCCACCCCGGTTTCCTCATCCATGCCTTCGTTTAAAGCCAAGTACAGCTATACGATAAAGAGGGGTGCGAACCCGGGCGGCGGCGGCGGAAACATGACAACGGACAAGGATTATTCTCTTAATCTGTCGGTGCAGCAAGTGCTGAGCCTTTGGGTGCAAGGCTCGGCGCTGCACCACTTCACAGGTATGCGGAATGAAAGGTGCCGCTATTCTGCTGCTTCATTTTTATTTTATTTTTAAATGTGTTCAGTGAAAAAGTCATCACCACCAGCAGCATGTGCAGCTTCCTTTTTAAAGAAGAATATATATAAATATCATTCAAATATATGTGGTCATTTTTCTTGTAGCCAGCAGGAAGGGCATGGCTGCTGTTATGTATAGGGGGCATCTGTGTGCCACCTTTCCATCCCACCTCCCCATCTCTGTCTCTGCAAGCTGGTGTGTTTTATTGGTGATGCTGGGCCTGAACCACAACATCAACAAAACAAAACAAAATCTCACTCTTTTATTCAGGAGTCCGTCAGGAAAAATAATGACAACATTCGGCTAATTAATCTTTCTGCTTCGTGAATGCGTAGTAAATGTGGCCTCCTCCCCCTCCTTTGTCTTTCAGTAAAGGGGCAATTAGAGGGAGGGTCCTCTTAGCGGGCAGGGATGCTGTCTGGGATGGTCCTGACTCTAGAAGTAGTGAGGCTGAGTTCAATTCCCTGTTTTATTTGAATGCAGTTGAGCCAGAGCATGTCTGCTTTGATATTGAAGGTAATATGCAGCTGTAAATACGAGATGAGGGCATCTCTGCGGGCTGATGGCTGAACTGTCACTTGTTGATACAGATGATTGAGCTGCTGCCATCAATTATGTGCTTTGTACCAAAACAAAATGCTTACAAGATGACTTTCTTCCTCCTTTTTTATTTGTAAGGAGGTTTAAGAAAAGTGGAAGAAATGCATGAAAGTTCCTATGACACAAAAACAGATCACGGGGCACCAAAAAAGCAATGTGTGGGCATTTTATCTCTTCTTTCCAAGCAGAATGAACTTCCTCAGCAAGAAATATTATTACTTGCCAGCTGTTCAAAGCATTGTCATCACTTTTCTTTTTTCTTTTTTTGAGGAAGTGGACGGGGGACCGTGTGTGTTGCACAAACACAAGATTATAGAAATTCTTGCATTTCACTCTGCAAAGTGTGGAGCCGGATGTGTAGTCATGGCTGGCTTGGCACAGACCGGTTGTCTAATATGCAGCTGACATCCTGTGTTGAGAAACACATCATGCAGGGATGGAAGGAAAAAAAAAGGCACAGTTGATCACGCTGACTCAGCAGGAAGTTGTAGTGCAATGTAGAAGTTTGTGGTATCTGAGCTGCAGCGGCGAGAAGAGAGCTGTGAGGAGCTAACGCCCCGGGGCTTTACAGAATACTGTTCACAAATCTCACACCTGACCCCCCAGACAGGTGAAAAACGACCTCCTGAGACATTAAAGAAGGTCAGGGGGGACAGTTGGGGAGCCCTAAACGGATAGATAAACTTTTATCTGTGCCCCTGGGGAGTGCTTCCTGTTTATGAGGCGTGCGCAGCAGGCGGTTTCACTTCAGAAAACCAGTGAAAAGAACATATTTAAATGTGAACAGCTACTTTGAAATTGTCTCACTTTGATGAATCACAGTCAATAAAAACATGCTGTTCTTGTCACTCATTTATTATCTATCTGTGGGATTTGTGGTACGATCGAGGTGCATTTAAGGAAGTGTCTTTTACTCACAAGTGTGTAACTTTAGAAATCTGGGCAGTTCTTTTTCCATTAGAATGCAGATAAATATCCAATTCTTAATCCAGCCTGGACCAGATGCTGTTAATCTGCCGGCGCCAGTGTAATGCATTGCATATGCATAGATATTTACCAGCTGGAGGGCACTGAAATGTATTTAACCTCATTTATTACAGCAATGAGTGCTTTAGCCTGTCTTGATTAGAATAAATAAGTGTATGAATATCGGTTGAACAGGGAAACTCATACAACATCATGTTTATTTTGCGCTTTTATCCCTTTTTTTGTAGTTTTTTCCCAGCTTTGGTCTTAGAAAATGAAAAATATTCAATGCATTAGCGTACTTGGGGGGTGGTTAATTGACACCCAGCGGGTTAATGAACTTGCAATAGACTTGCAGAAATCCTGTATTATCAGTTCACAATCATAATGTCAGAAGGCTTTCTTAGTTTTAATTGTTTGCCTGCTGTGATTACGCGATGATCAGATTGCTAAAAAGTCATTTTATTATCTCACACGGTAACATGTTGTGTAGCTGTTCTTCGTGTAAAGCTAATCAGTTGTGTTCACTCTGCACGTTCCCTGATCTGCAGCTTTTTAGCTCAGCATGTCTGGTGTTTAGCTGTTTGCTTTAGCCTTTATCTCTTTGCAAACAAGCACACAAAAGCAAAAAGAGCTCAGGTGAAGCTGTAAAACATACACACAAAAACAGAAAGCGCAACTTGGCTGCTCAGTTAAAGGTCCAGATATTTCTGTCAGGAGTTGGCAAACAACTAAACAGAAGGTATAGTGGAGTTTAGCAGGTTCAGATAAAAGCATCGAGTCTATGTATGGGCACATGCAGCTATATTAGGAGTTAAAGCTTTGTGTGAATGCCAAGCAGCAACCTTCAGGATTTAAAAACATTGCACCAATGCTGAAGTGGCAAAAGCTGCAGTTCCTCCAGTGGCCACTTGAGGCTTTCTCCTAAAACAAGTCAATCCCCATAGACTCCTGTGTTAAAATAAACTTTAAAGCATTAAAAGCATCTTTACAGCCTCAGTGGATGTTTTCCCACATCATAACTATCAACACAGGCTTAAATTTTCTTTTCTTTCTTTCTTTTTGTAAATAAATTTATGCATCTGGATGCTAAAGTGAAGATCGTGGTCGCTTTGAGTGACAGGCGTTCCCAAGGCACCTGGATTTGATCACAGTCTGCTGGGCCTCACCTCCACTGCCATGTTTGTGCTGTTGGTGCCTTTTGGAGCATTTGCAGTGGCATTATCTTATTGGTCTTTTACTTTGCACTAATTAGCAGGTATGCTTTTCTGTGTGGTGCATGTGTACAATTTAACGATACATCACGTCATAGTAGCTCGGTTCTCCGAAAAAGAAGAAGCATCATCCGAAATGGAATCAACATTAGCATAGTCCTCTTCTTGTTCTGCATCACAGGACAGAGTCACTGCCAGATGTGTCAGGCTGGCTCTCCCTCTCTCCACGTTTGGACAAACCCATCCTTCGTCGTCTTGAGAGGTGAACTCGGCAGCCTTCTGCTTCGAGAAGCTGCGGCTTCAACACGGGAATGGTTCATGTTCTGCAGCCGCCTGTGTACTCCAACCTCTGACGAGGCACCAAATACACGAGCCCCTGCTTTTTTAAAATTCTGTCCTGTTGACAGGCGAGCTCTAAAGCCGCCGTGCTGACAAAGACCTCGGCCTGTAGTTGCGGATTAGCAGAAGTTAATACTGTGCTCTCACTGTGTTTTAGCCTGTGTTCGCTCCTATCTCTGAACATGACACAGCACTTTACTGCACTCATTTCTCACCCTATAGGTGCTTCTTCATAGCCGTGACCACCTGCGCTGCCTGCTGTCCCCTGAAACTAAATGTGCACCTCACCTTCCAGCATCTGCTGCAATGCAAAAAAAATGAGCTGCCATGGATAATTTTAGTCGGCTGAGATAAATAACGAGCCTCGTGTCTCCACTGAACATTTCACCCGACCCATTTTCTCTCTAAATCGAGCTTGTAATTCATCAAGAAATGCAACAGATTTCCTCCAGCTATGCTATTAAATATTATTCTGACCAGCATGACAGGTTACTGTTACAGAAGAGAGATCACGCTGACATTTGGTCCTCAGTAGGTGTCCGGGTCAGCCTCCATCCATCAGTGATGGTGGAAGACTATACGGATTATTTTATCAGTAAGTAGAAACACAGAGTATCCCAGCTGTCCTCTCCATTTGTGAAATTTTTGGCAAAGTTGATCTCACTGAACCCTTACATATTGAATCTAACCGTGAGGTTTAGAGGAGAAACTTCTAGCATTTGCGGCCAATCAGCTTACCTGCCATTCACCGTTAGTTACGTTGAACTCCGCATTTTTCTTTTCTTTTTCTCAGACTTCTGCTAACCAACTCATTCCCTTAACTACACATAAACTAATGGTGTTTGTGATTGTCTGTTTAACCTGTGGATGTCTGTAGTTCTTTAGACCGAGTGGGCGATATCACAGTCTGTGTGCGATGATGTTAGCATTGCATAACCTCCTCCAGGATCTTTGAGTTTCATCTTTTCCAGCCTGCATTAAAGGCCGGCTCTCTCTACACGATGCTGAATCCTGATCAGCTTTCGTGTCGTCGGGGGCTACAGTTAAGCGGCGCTCTCTCTCCCTGTACTTCCTGTATGTGTGTCTCTCTTAACTCTTGGGTCCCATCACAGATATCCCTCTCTCCTCTGCTGCTGGATGCTTGCAGAAAGACAGCAGTGGATACACTGCAGCGTGATCTGCGTGCTCAGTCATTTAAGACAAAAAGCCATTGTGTTACTCCGCTGTCACGTCTCTCTCCGCCTGGCCCGGCGCTCGCCTGCCGGATCAATAAGTAGATGTAGGCACTCAGTGGACTGTGGAGGAGCTCGGTTAAATGGATATGCTAAAGAGGTCCTCGTGTCCCAGAGCTCTGAGAAATACTTGGTAATAGAATTGGGCGTTGTGATGTTTACACTGCAAAATAATGTCACGTTTCCTGTTTGCATCGCGCCCACACACAGACAGCATTGCCATGCTTCGGCTGGGTCATCCTTTCTCACTTGGTGTCTTTTCTTCTTCAGTTATCTCACAGCCAGCTGGCTCCTTCTGGCTCCCACGGTGCCAGGGGTTCAACCAAAGGCCCCTCGCTGGCAAAGTGCAATGAAGCCGGAGCCTTTTTAGACAAAGCTGGCCTGTGCCACAGAAAGACAGGGAGAACGAGGAGGAGGAGGAGGAGGAGGAAGAGTGTGATTTTTAAATGCTGTTTACTGTTCTCATTTTCAGTGGAGTCCGTTATAACGGCAGCACAGTCTGGACCCTGCAGGGTGCATTATGTGTATTCTAGGAGAACAGTCGAGTTTGGTGGAAGCTAATTAGATGATTTTGCTGGCATTTTAGGAATTAACAGCATTTTTAGTTTGCAGACGTTTGTTTCTACGATTACATTTTTTTTTTTTTCAGAAAGCTTATCTCCAGTCAGGATGGTCACAAAAGGCGGCCGTATGCTATTGTTTCAGACGAGATTTTCCATTTACCGCTTCATGTCGGGCTCGCTGTCTGAAATGTCGCTCTGAGCGGTTTTATACATCTCCGCCACGGGTCCATCGCCACGGTCGGTTGCCTCTTTGATGAGGCTGCTGTAGATTGAAATCCTCCCCTCGCCTCACAGACGTGCAGCAGCGGCTGTACCTCTGCATCTTGGCTGAGCTGCAGTGCTTCATCTTGGAAGCACTCTTTATAAGCAGTAAATGTGAATTTTTCAAGACTAGAACGGAATATTATAAGTTGTGTCTTCCCCCTCGGGATCACTTATTGTCGGCGTTTGTTTGTTTGCATGAAGCTCTTTTGTTCAGAAGAGCTTCTTATCACTAATGCGGCTCAGTAAGGTGAAGGCCTGCCTCCCACCACTGCATGACTCTGAGACAGAGTCTCACGCTTTTATTACCTCTCTTAGACTTTCGTAGCTCTTTATTTGTCGGCTCTGATCAGTCGTTACTTCGTTGTCAGCAGGCTGTAGAAAATGCAGCAGCTCGCCTTTAGACAGGAAAGAAACATGGTGATCACACCTTTTCTGGCCTCCTTACACTGTCTTCCTGTCCATCAGGATCCAGTTTAAAATTTACTTGTTTTTAAAAGCCTTATTGGTTTGGTGCCACCTTACTTAACAGAACTTTCGGAGCCTCTGACCAGATAGTCCAGTCCAGGCTTAAAAGCAAAGTCTACAAAGTCTTTGTAGTGGCAGCTCCTAACTTTTGGAACAACCAAACTTCCCACGTACAGCTCAGTCATTTTAAAACAACTGCTTATTCTTGTTTTCTTTCAGGTCTAGATGAGCAGGATAGCCTGATGCAAATACGACCTTATTTAATTAGTTTTATTTGTTGATTTTTATTGTGTATTTGCTGTTTATTTATTGACTGTATATTTTTTTATAACCTGAGGTTGTTGCTGAAAGCTGGGATAAAGTTTATTGAGATGGTTAAAAAAAAATTAAAGCAGCTGATGTACAGATATCCCACTAAGCCCCTGCTTCTGTCTGTGTTCAGGTTGCAGTAGTAAATAAGCAGCTTTTATCTATAAAGCAGGTTTTCTGTTACAAACCTGTTGTCTTTAAGTCCTGTTTCTTCCTCAGATATTTTTATTAAAGTTTCTGCATCCATTTTTACAAAAGACAAATTGAACAATATGCCGTTTTCTTTTTGAAGAACATAAAACAATATGAAACATACACTCCCACCTCATAATTATAGGAGTACCAGTGGGTGTACAAAAAGAAAAAAGAAAGGGTCCAATCTAATAACACGAGTAGCAAACCCTGGAGTACAAGATAACAGTTCCTGAGTGTACAAGAGAGATGTGGAGAGTTTCAAAGCCCACACCCCCACACAGACACAGAAAAAACAAAACACACAAACAAAAAAAACACAAACATAATGAGTGGTCAGCTTAGTTGTAGAGATAAGTCAATTCTGTAAGAGAAAAGAAATATGTATAAAGTAGGTAAGTAAATGGCATCATAAGGCGCAGGCACAATAGAGTCCATATACTTAAACATCTTACTTAAACATAAGATAAAATAAAATATAATAAAGTCTGAGCTGGCTAATTGGGAGCGTTGCGAGACCGCAAAGTCTGAACATGGTCAAAAAAGGGTTGCCAGGTCTTAAAAAGTTTGGCCATAGACCCACGCAGGGTGAATTTAATCTTTTTGAGTTTGCTAAAATGCAAAGCGTCTCTGATCCAGATTTACCAGGATGGGGGAGAAGTTGACTTCCAACATAACAATATTCTGCGTCTTGCCAATAAGGTGAGAAATGCTACCAGATCCGCTTGGGGCGTCGGCAAGGCAACTGTATCAGGAAGAACCCCAAACAAAGCAGTTAAGGGCACAGGTTGGAGGGTTAGCTGGATGATCTTTGATAAAGTCAGAAAAATATTAATCCAGTATTGTTTGAGGGATGGACATGACCAAAACATGTATTAGAGAGGCAGGTGTTTGATGACAACGGTCGCAATCAGGGCTAAGGTTGGGGTATATTTGACCTAGTCTGGCTTTAGTAAGTCCTGTTTCAAGTTTCATGTGTAATCGACGTTATGCAAACCAAAGCTGACCTTTATATGTAAATGCAGCTATTTCACTAAAATAAAGGAAGCAAAATAAATCACAAGGGCTTAAATCACCGTTTCCCAGTATGGTTGTTTTGATCATTGTGATGTCAAATCAAATCACTGTACATCAAGGATGGACATGATCACTGCTTTAAAACGTAATTAGATTAAATCAAGCTTGTAATTTATCAATAAGTGCAACAGACAGACTCTGACTAAGAATTCAAATGTTATTTTGGCCAGAGTTTTACAGAGACCATTACAGATTTATCCACTAAAGGCAGATTTCACTGACATTTGGTCCTCGGTGGGTGTCGAGGTCATCCATCTGTGTTTGTGCTCCATGATGGTGGAAGGAATATTCAGAAGTCCCAATACAACTGTGTTAAAGTGCTCCAACACAAGGAAAAGCATTGTAAAAGTATAGAAAAAGAAAAGCGAAGCCTTAAACGTGCTTTCTGTTTACAGACCAGCAGGAGGCGACTTTTATATATACTCTGTGAAACGGTCAGAAACACATAAAAACATTAAAAGCTGGGACCAGTCTGCTTCAAGATGGTTTCTTTGGTAAACAATTCATAATTCATTTTGTAAGTGAAAGCTGCTTCTGTTCCTCAGATCGATATTTAATTTCATGCTTCACCAGAAATGAAAGTACTCTGTTAAAGTCATATATATTAGAATAGGGGATTGTTGTTACTTTAATGTGCCAGCTGACTGATTTTGGTGATGTAAACCAACAAATAGGAAAAAAAGTAGTCTTTATGTTTGCAGTAACTATCATTATACATCATCATTGTTATTAACCAGTAAATATAAAAAAATGTGAAAATGTAAAAATATTTATTTCAGTGCAAGCGGTGATTTCTCTAATTTGTTGCCATGTTTGATGTTCAGGCTAAAAAAATGTAATTGTCTGATTAATATTTATGAAACTAATCGATAATTTATTTGCTGCAGTTGTTACATTAAGAACCCCTAAGACATTATATCATACTGTACTGTAGTATATACTTATACTACTATGTGCTATACTTATACTATATCTGGAGCAACTACGCATTGTGCTCGAGAGATATTACCTGATATTTAACTTCTGAAGCTGGGCTGTACTTTTATATAATACTATAATATAATAGATGGTGCAGGTGGTCAGTTTAACCTTAATTCAGCAAGTAAAAGAAAAAAGCATTTAGATGAGAACATTTCAGCACACTGCCCCCTGCTGGTGAAAGCTTTTGGTAAATTGTACGTAGAGCACCTTTAATGTAAGCGGTAAATCCTGTGCTTTCAGGCTGTATCTGATCTGTGTTGTTGGCTCTCTCTCCCTGCAGAGATGTGGTACTGGGTCTTCCTGTGGTGTCTCTTCTCCTCGCTCTTCGTCCACGGGGCGGTGGGGCTGCTCATGTTAGTCATGCTGCAGCGCCACAAGCGGGGACGCCTCATCACCCTGGTGCTGGTCAGCGTGGGTTTCCTGGCCTCGCTCTCCGGAGGCGTCATCACTAGTAAGCCCATTTACTTCCCCTTTTGTTTTCTTGCTGACGGGTTATTTTTAGAGCGACCTCAGAGTGCGGCGTTCAGCACCCAGAAGAAGACGAGAGGTGACAGGAAGGCAGAGCGAGCGCTGGGTGAGGTGACCGTGTGTTAACTCGTGTCAACTAGAAGAAAACAGAAGCTGACAGAGAGACATGGAGGAGGAAGATTTTTAGACTAATCTGCTTCTGTGTTTACCTGCCTGTTTGTTTATGTGGCCCAGGAAACTTCAACGTGTCGGCACGATAAGGGTTCATTTAATTTAACAACATTTTTGTGATTGGCTGGACTGTTGTCGCTGGTAGGAAGAGTTTGCACCCAAAAAATACCAACCACACACACACACACACACACACACACACACACAAATGACCTAAACACTAACTTTGAAGATATTCCAAACAACAATAACATTTAAAGGTACATTTTGTAAAATCCCTATTCAGATTTTTTTTTTTAAATTCACGCCACTGAGTGTTAGATTAGTCTATGCACTGTAACAAAGACCTCTAACTAATCTTCACCTGACTATTACAACGTTTTATGTTAAGAAATCAAGGATATACTGTCTACTTTCACTCTGTCTCTTAAGCAGTCAGTGGTCCAACCAACCATCCCAGTGATGTAATGTTCTGTACGGGCACAAGTTCAGTATCTTTCCCATCTTTGCTTCCTCCTGGGCTACAGTTACTGCCCCCCCAGCTAGGCAGCCTCCCATCCAAGTACTAACCAGGCCCACCCTGGCCAAGATCAGCAGAGATTGGGCGTGTTTAGGGTGGTATGGGGATGAGCTGTGACATGCTAGTATAAAGTTAACAAATTACACTCCTACCTGGTCTTTGAGCTGCTTGGAGAAGTCTGGCATGTTTCCTTTTTTTGTTCCAAATGCTCAAACGATTTAAATGTGGGTGTTTAGTCTTTTGCTTGAAGCAGACTTTTAGCTGCATCTACAGATTTTCTACATGTTGCTGTTCATCAGATATCTGCAGTAACCTCAGAACAAATGGGGAAAAACAAAAAACAAAATACAGTCTTATTTCTTGACACCACCCCACTTTAAGTTAACAGTCAGTTCCTTTAGTCAAGTCTAAGAGCTACATCATTACATCCAAGTGAATGTGTTAAGGTTTGGGCGGCTTTGAGACAAATTCTCAAGTAGCGACAGGCTGTTACAGTCACAGTAGGGAAAAACAGTGGTTGGAGAATGGAACACAACCAAAATGAACGCAGCTGACAATTTGATGTGTCAAGACGGCAATAAAACAGCAATAAGATGAAGTCTGTCTGTGATTAGATGGGGTGCAGTCAGTCGATTGAAAGTGGTGGAAAGTAAGCATGCATCCTCAGGCCAGGAGCTGTTGGTCGCTGCAACTACTCACTCAGAGCAAAACATTTTTCTTTTCCTTTTTCTAGTCGCAAAAAAGGTGCTGTCCTATTTTTACTCTAGTGTGACTGATCCATTAGGGTAAGAAGGTAAAAAGTCCCAGTGCACCTCAGGTCACGTTCCCTGCAGAGTCCATGGGTATCACATTTCAGCACTAATGATGATACCTGCAAGTCTGCATTAGAAATGAGGGGCAGCGGATCCTTGAAGACCAGGGGTAATTAGTCTGAGGCCATCTAATTCATCTCTCTTTGTTAACACTTAATATAACACAGTAGAGTGGTGCAGATAGTTATCTATAATATATGATGACATCTGTGGTGACTGTGAAGTAAAAATACCCTATAAGACTCCAAAAAGGCAGAAATCAGGAATCATTAATCATTTATTTTCTACTGTGAATCAAAACGGTGAGGAAATCTGTTCGCTGTCTGCACGTTTTAATAACTGGCACTTGTTTTCATTGTTATACCAGGTGTGATATGTTATCTTGAGCTAGGACAAATATCAGTATTTTGTATCCAATACAGTGGGGCAAAAAGTATTTAGTCAGCCACCGATTGTGCAAGTTCCCCGACCTAACATGATGACAGAGGTCAGTAATTTGCACCAGAGGTACACTTCAACTGTGAGAGACAGAATGTGAAAAAAAAAATCCATGAATCCACATGGTAGGATTTGTAAAGAATTTATTCGTAAATCATATTTTTGAAAGACAAAAATATTCACTTTATTATTTTTTTAAACACTGCAGGTGAAGCTGATATCCAGGCTTTGTTTATTTGCCTTTACCTTCCCCTCACTGTATCAGTGTGAGAGCACAGGGTGTGTAAATAGACCTGCGTCTATCGTAGCGTAGGGCTCTGTGGATGACTCACTCACCGTCACAGATGTGAGCTGGTGCCCCAAAAATAGAAAAGCCGCTTTATTATTAATGTGTAGCAATCAGAGTGAGCTAGACTATTGACAGCGTCACCAGCCATGTGTACGCGAGCCCGGCACAAAATCAGAGTGTGTGTGTGTGTGTGTGTGTGTGTGTGGAGACTGCAAAGGCAGCAGTCGCAGCTGAGTAGAAGTAAAAGAAAGGTCATGCAGCACAGAGGAAATGTCAGCCTTTAATAGTTGTTTAAAGTCCTTTTCTATAACATTAAATGTCCAGGACTCTGATTTGAGCTACAGTTTAGAGTCTACAGGCCTCAGTTGACATGTTACATGTTTAAGTTTATGTTGTGTTTGGAAGGTTTTGCATGATGGAACAGCTTCGTGTGTTTCAACTAAGAAAACCACAAGCACATTGTCCTTTAGACAAATGAGTCCAAATCGGAGATGTTTGGTAATAATGCAAAGTGCATAATATCAGCAGCACAAATAAATGTTAGTGTCATGCACAATGGAAGAGGCGTGATCCTTTGGGCTTGGTTTGCAGCCAATGGGTCCGGGCACCTTCCAGTGCCAGACTGATGTTTAAGACCTGAACACTAAACCCCTGTTGATACTAAAAGCTGAAGATTTAGACACAGAAACCAACCTCTTTCTCTTTTCAATCAGGACACACGTGCAATTTTTCTTTTAATTTTTAATACAAACACAAAGAAAAGATGAGAAACACTCCGACTTTAAAGCCAGTGTGATGCTACTTTAGAAATACTGGTTTTCCTTCTCCACACATTATTTTTTCTTTCTATCCGCCTGACGTGCAGATTACTGAGGAGCCTTTTGTAACGCATGTAACAACATGATATAACTCTAATCTAATTGCTGAGTATAGCACAGTAACCTGTTACATTACTGTTACTGAAAAATGTAACGTGATCACTTTGTTTTCTGTAAACGCAGCAGAGATTGCATCCTCCACACCGTAAATATGATAACCTTGATGAAGGGAGGATTCGCTGGAGCGCTGCTGGTAGCTTTAACTGGTAAACTTTGTTTAGCCTTCGAGTCCAGCAGTTTAAAAATAGCTCACTCGGCTTTGGTGCCTGGATTAGAGAAACGTCCTCTCCTGCTGTTTGTCTCAATCACGACTAGACGGACAGCGTGCAGTGAGAACTGCTGCAGGAAGAGCAGCGAGTCCGCTCAGAGTGTGGCCGCGAGGAGGCATGCACGAACGCTCCTCCATCACTGACAGAAGGGCGAGACCAGGAGGGACATGTTTGTCCGCTGATCCCCTGACTGTGGATGTTCAGTTGGGTTTAATGGTGACAGGCAGCTGTGTGTGTGTCTTTGTCTTTGCCAGATCTTGTATTAACATTGACTTTTACATTTTTTTTATCTCCCTCAGGCGCGGCCGTGGCGGGCGTTTACCGCGTGGCGGGGAAAGGCATGGCACCGCTGGAGGCGCTGGTGCTCGGCGTGGGCCAGACCACCCTCTCCGTCGTCATATCCTTCTCGCGGATCCTGGCCACGCTGTGAAGAAAACCCATGACGGGGTGAAAGCGGGCAAACCGAGCCGGGCAGAGACTTTAGGCCTGCTTTTATGGAAGGACATGAGGCACAAGTCCTCTGGACCTTTTGAGGGCCGGATCCAGGGTAGAGCGCCCCCCCCAGCGTCTCTGCACTGTGCAGGAAGGTCGTCATCGTGTCAGAGAGCAGCGCCGGGCAGAGGCTCGGCCTCAGCTTCTGGACCTGAAAGCCATGTTTCTGAGTTTCCAGAGTTATGCCACTTCTTCGTGCCAAAAGCCTTCTCTGTGAAAACAGCAAGCCTCGGTGGCCGACTGACTCTCAAAGGCTTTCTGTTGAACTTTTGAGGGAGGAGGGAAAAAAATCTATTTTTTAAACAGCGACCTGTAATCGTGAGCTGATGATCTTTGGCGATCGGAACAAAAGTTCGGCAAACAAACAAAAGAACAGCAGTGTCCATCAGCAGTAAAACACCTTCATCAGTATTGAACCGCCGCCGCGCCTCTAGGCCTGCATACAGCTTCTCGCTCCTTCTCCTGAGATGGCTCGAAAGCCGCAGCATCCGACTCACGAGCAGGAAGAAGCTTTGAATTTTTGCACTTTGTAAATGTTGGCGAAGTGGCAGAGGAAAACCAGCATGTGATGATCGATTTTAAAGCGTGCCAACAACAACTCTGAGCGGAGTCAGAGGAGTAGTTTGGGGAGTGTGTTTATTGGCTTTCTTCCACAGACAGAGAGAGAGGATGAGATCAATGTCACTCTGATGTCTTTACTGTAAACAAAGGTGGAGCCGGGAGACAGTAAAGTTATCTACCTGCATCTGATTTATCTCTATTAAACAATATAACATAACATAATATAACAGGACATAATGATAATCGAGTTGCAGGAATTTGCTGTAATAATAAAAATATTTTCATTCGAAAAGTTGGAAAAGAACCAGATTAGAGAAAAGAAACGGAAATTTGACCATCCAGTATTTCCAGTGTGTGTGAGGCAAAAGTAGGTGTACCTGTGCTGTCAGTATGCAGGTTTTACGCCCATGAGCAGCAGTAAAGGCAGCTAAGCGTTCCTGTAATCATCGATCAGTCCTGCGCATCAACTCGGAGGGGTTTTTAGCCCGTTCTTCCGTACAGGAGCGTTCAGACTCTGAGATTACGGCGCGTTTCCTCGTGTGAACGCCTCGCTTCAGGTCTTACTTCGGTCAGGGATTGTATTTTCAACACATGACCTTTATTTTTCTTTGATCCTTCTTTGAGGTTCAGATCACGCACGCCTTCCTGCTGAGAGGCAGCGGGCCAGGCTCAAACCTTGACACCCCTCTTACATTTTACCCTCTAACGTCCCTCTAACGCAGTGGTAGAGAGCTCCAGGCCTCGAGAGCCTCGAGAGCCGTTGGTCAACACACCTGAATCAAATGATTAGTTCATTACCAGGCCTCTGGAGAACTTCAAGACATTGAGGAGGTCATTTAGCCACTTAAATCAGCTGTTTTGGATCAAGGACACATCTAAAACCTGCAGGACACCGGCTCTCGAGGCCTGGAGTTCCCTACCCCTGCTCTAACGTGTTTGATAGATCCCCTTTGTTTAAATAAATACACCTGATTGGCATCCTGTTGACTGAAAACATCCTTAGCTTCATATTCACGGTACAGACATCAGAGGGGCATCATCAAAACTTTTAGCAAGAAGGCGAATAAACGGTTTGTTGAACAAAACAGGAGGCGTCTGTAATAGGGAGTGATTTGGTTTGGCTCTTTATAGATTAATTCTTCCTTATTCAGGGTAAGAGGAGTAAAGGTGCGTCAGCATTGAAAAGGGTCACTTTGCTGCTTGAGAATCAGCATATTCCCAGAGAAATCGCTCCGAGTGAGTCTGTGAGTCCTGCAGGTGCAGATTTTCTGGAGCCCCGGTCCTCCTCGGCTCACCGTAGTGCTGCTTATGTCTGCACTGTTTCAGTATAAACTCCCCGTGGAAAGCCATCCCTCCCTCCCCGGAGAAGGTCACAGATTGTGCTGCTCTGATTTATTTTCTTCTTCTTCTTCTTCTTTTATTCTATGCCTACTTTTTTCTTTATTGTTTTGTTTATGAACCCATGCTCCTTAAGTTTAACTTTGCACGTTGCACTGACTTTAATCTGCCTTGTTTTAAATCAGTGTGCATTGACCCGATGCTATACACACGCAGACACAGATTATGATGATGATGATGCTTTGGAAAAAAACAAAATAATGTGAAGACTGTGCTCGAAGTTACTGTATGTAGATGCCAGACACAGGCGGTGCCGAAGAAAGTTCAACTTTGCCCAAACCTTCACCCAGGAGGTCGAAATACCAAAGTATCGCTCACAGTCCAGCTTTACTCATCCCGTTTTCTCATCTTACTGACTCAACATAAAGAGTTAGTGGTTTTATGTACTTTTTAGGGACATTTGCACATTCAAAAATATGCTCGTGCTGTTCAGATTGTGTGATTTTTATTTCTTTTCTTTTTTTTGCGGTTTTGTGGCTCTGAAGGTAAATTATGTAATGATGTAACAGTTTACCTTCACTACCAGCTCAGCACACAAGAGGGCGATATTGCACTGGAATGAAGTAGCAGCAGGAGCCTGAATGCCTGTGAGATGATTGTGGGGTTTGGAAATATTGAACAAAAAAAAAAAAGGTAAACGACCTGAAGCCCCTCCCCCTGTTTATTTTCTTCCTGTACCGCTGGGTTGCTCTGCACGTGGTCTGCACCGCCCGTTTGAATGTGTAAGCTCAGCCTTCAGGGACCAATCGTGACTCACCTGCTGTCGGTGAAATCTGTTTCTGCGGGCACTTTGTGCATGTTCGTATGCGGCTCACAGGAGACTGATGAGCATCGTTGTCGCCGTGTTCGGTGTCGGTCTGCGCAGTCGTGCTTGTGACTAGAATAAAAGGATTTCCATGTGTTTTCTTTCATTGCGCTGGTGGTCGGAGAAGGGGTGTGAGGACCTACTACAAGTGACAGCAGTTTTACTGTCTTTACATAAAGTGATTTTTTTTATGTGGCGATTAAAACTGCAAGAATGGACTCGATGCTGTCAGATCTGCACATCCAGAGCTGTACATAGCCGCAGTGTGCTTCATAAACAAACTAACCGCTGAATAGCATTCGCACCCGGTGCCATTACTGGTCATGACGGATATATGTGTGTGTTTTTCCGCTCCAGGTTCTGTGATTGAGCCGTGTGACCGTGAGTGTGCGCTGTAATATCTAAAGGAGACACCCAGCAACTAATAATCCCCTCTAGACTTTTAAAAAAGTAACGCCATCACGCTGCAGGGAGACACCCAGCTCAATAATCCTGTCTCTTTCAATAGGCTTATGATAGAAGCTGCACCCACCATTCGTACCACCACAGCCACCACCTCAAGTCTGCTGCTGCCCAAATGCCACAAATCCCGCCCCCCTCTCTTCCCAACCCCGGACACATACTGTGTACCCGCCGCTGTGGCTGCATGTGCAACGCAGCTCAGGTAACATGTGAATGGACTAACATGGACAATCCACCCAGAGACAAAGCTGTACATAAAACCCAAAGTGGCACTTCTCCTGTAGATAATGTACAATATCTTCTTTTTTAATTTTGTACCAGCCAAACTGCTGATATTTATAACTATTGCCTATTTATGTACAAACTGTTCTCCTGTACATACTCAGCAGGCGGTTGAAATAAAACTCTTTTGCAGCATAAAAAGCTCAGGAGTGTTGTTTCTGCTCTTTATCAATCTGCTTCGTCTCACAGCACAAACAGGAGTGTGGAGGGACCCCGGGGATAATGTTATGATATGTGTATCATATTTAATGCATCAGTTTTTGATACCTCTACATCATCAGTGTGATTTGTCTTAACTGCAACCCCGTTATATGTTTTCATAATAGCCAGGAAACCTACGCCTTCTTTGGGTAAACTGATGGCCAGCAGGGGGCGACTCTGCTGGGTGTGGAAGAGTCAGCGGGGACAGCGGCCCTCTGCTCTCTGGTTCTGTGACCTCATTGAAACTCTTTCCTGTGGGCTCAGTCAATAATTTCAGGTCATACTGAATAAAAAATGAAGTTAATTTAGTAAATTATTGGTCACTGAGTGAGAAAGGAGGATCATTAACAAGTGAGCAGTCCTCCATCAGGCCACCAGCTAGTGAGTTACATTATGGTGGCTGTGTCTGTCTTTTATACTGTATGTGGTTAGAAATTAAGAGGAAGGTTTTTAAAGTGTAGATTCAGCAGAAAAAAATTAGTCTTTTGGATACTTTTGATGGAGATGAACAGTCAGGTCCAGAAGCATTTGAGTGGTGGCACTTTTTTTTCTTTTGAGCACCACCTCAGTTGATTTGAAATCAAGACTTTCAGCTTTAATTCAAGGGGTTTATTAAGGGTATCCGCTCTCACTGACATCATGAAGAGCCAAGATCAGAAAAACTGTGTCAAGCTTTGCTCTTATAGGGATTACTTGCCCGTGTGCTCGCCTCATTATTTCAAACCTTTTTAATGACAGAAAATAAGCCAGACACAGCATTTTTCTAGCTTTGTTAACCACTAACATATGAATATGGTGCACTTTACTGAGCAGTTATCGCACATGCTTGCACTGCAGCTTTGAGCCTCTGTTATGTATTTAAACTCTCATTATTTTTTACATTGTGTTGTTGTGATTGTTGGCAGTAGGCCTGCCACATGTTTGCTGATTGCTCATATTCTGTGAAATCTGTCTTCTATGTTTACATGCAGGTACATTTAGTTGGGCTAATTATTAGCTGTAAACGTAAAGATGTCTTCCTGTGCAATCACTGTTTGTTCTTTGTGAACGCCAATGTGTCTTTTGCCCATCGCCTCCGCCCAGTGCTCGTCTCCCGGCGTTCCCTGGCTCTGCTGTACGTGCCCTCCCGCAGCAACCATTTTTAGAGAAGGTAAAGTCATGTTTTGTCTCCGCGCAGACTCGAGGAAGTTGGCTGTTTTCATTTGCTGGTATGATACCCAAAAAAAACCTCCGGTACGTGATGCCTCCTCATTGTAACGGTGGGGGCATCGCCTCCTGAAACATTTTGATTGTGGCTGTGACTCCAACACACAATTGCTCATTCTCATATCTGATTTGACATTTGGTTGCTGTTCCAGCCGTGTGATCTGCTTTCCTCTTTGGCTTGAACAAGGTTTTCTTTCCCTTTTTTGGGTTGCATATCCAGCCCACTGCACACACACGTTGCTGCTGAGTGTAATGTATTTTTAATTCTGCAGGGACGAGGAGGAGAGGAGGAGGAGGAGGGCTGTGAATAACTGTGATGGAATTTAGTCAGCATTCTTGTGGGCTCAAAAGGACAAAGGTCTCGAGTTGTTATCACCTTGTTTTTTGTTATTTTATTCTTTAATGGCTGAGAACAGAGCCTGTGACTGCGGCTTTGGTTTCCACTCATCAGCCACAACGACCAATCGGAGAGAGAGGCTGAGGTGAACTGATAAGAAGTCAGCGGCCGCTACGGAGGCAGGAAGTGTTTCATAAAAGGCCAGGGAATGTAGCTGTGGTATTTATGAGTGTTTGATGGATGTTTGGTAAACTCGGGAGCAGAAACAATGATGTTTATGCTCTTAACTGACCTTAAATCACACTGAAATTGATGCATCGATGTATTATTACAGCGTGTCACCCGGTACAGCACATAAATACAAGCTTTTTATAAATTGTTGCAAAAATATGTGACAGGTTGGGATTTCTTTGGAAACTGTACAAAGATCATCCACCAGCAACGTATTTTCCTTATGTCACCAAAACACCTCTAACCTGTCAGTGCTTGGAATTTGCAAGACTTCTGTCCTCTCGTATCTGAGAGCAAGACATTAGCAACAGATCCTTTGAGTCCTGTTTGCTGTGACGAGTAAACCATGTGCAAGGATGTTCAGGTAGGTGACATCCACATGTATGGCGGGACCGAGATTTTCCGGAGTTTTCTTATATCTGTGCCTCTGTGTCTCCTCCTGCCAGCACAATCTCAATCACTCTCAGTGCATGTATTGAAGGATGTCTCAGTTCCTGCAGAGGACAGGGCAGGCTATGAATAAGGATGCACAGGTGAGGCACAGCACACAGCTT